GGGGGGCCTGGAGGGGAGGAAGGGGATGGTGGAAGGGGAGGGAGGAGCAGGAGCCCCCCCACCCCCTCTGCTGCCCCGCAGGGGTCTCGGCAGCTGCCCCGGGGCTGCGGGTGACAAAGCAGCACCCCAGACCCGCTCTCTCCTCCCGCTGCTCCCCAGGGACCCCCGTGAACCGGATCCCCATCATGGCCAAGCAGGTGCTGGACCTGTACATGCTGTACACGCTGGTGACTGAGAAAGGGGGTCTGGTGGAGGTCATCAACAAGAAGCTGTGGCGGGAGATCACCAAGGGGCTGAGCCTGCCCACTTCCATCACCAGTGCGGCCTTCACCCTGCGCACCCAGTGAGCGGGGCTCGGCGGGAGGGGAGGGGGGCAAGCCCTGGGGGTCCCTCTGCCCTACGTGGGAGCGATGAGGAGGGAGAGAGGGAGGGAGGGAGAGGGCAGCACACGGGAAGGGGTGTCCAGCCGCTGCATCACCCCCACCAACCCAGCCTGTGTCCCGTGTGGCCGCAGGTACATGAAGTACCTGTACCCCTACGAGTGTGAGAAGCGCGGGCTGAGCAACCCCAACGAGCTGCAGGCGGCCATCGACAGCAACCGGCGGGAGGGCCGGCGGCAGGGCTTCGGCGGCTCCCTCTTCGCCTACTCGCCCAGCGGCACCCACGGCCTCCTCTCCTCGCCCAAGCTGCCTGTGCCAGCGCTGGGGCTGGCATCAGCCACCAACGGCGGGGCCATCGCACCCGGCCAGAAGATCAAGAAAGGTAATGGCTGCTGCAGAGTCCAGCTGCTGTGGGGTCCAGCCACAGGCTGAGCCCCCTCCTGGCACCAGGGATAAGGGGCAGAGCTGGGTGTGGTGGGCAGGGGGGTGATGCTCCTCTCCCCTCCCTGGGCTCCAGGGCCTCAGCTCGGGGACCCTGACTCCAGTGACCCATCTCTGACCTTTGGAGGTGCCAGGCAGCCCCCACCACAGCAGGGCCCCAAACCGTTGTGCCAGGGCCAGGGACACCCCCGGGGTGGTGGCACCTGCCTGTCCCTGCGCCCCCACGCCTGACACCTGCTCCCCCTGCAGAGGAGGAGTCCCCCATCCCCATCTCCATGCC